CGCTCTCCTTGCACTCAGAGCAGTGTACCACAACAAATCAATCTGTGTGCTATTTAGCACATGAGCTAATCAGGCAACGTCTAGTGATTTCAGTCAGCGCTTTACTTTAAACTGGCTTGTTCAGGCTGCTAGTTATAATCAAATGTTTTAAATAATTTACTAAATGACAATTGGACAATAATGTCACAATGTGAATGGTTCACTAATATGCAGTACATTCTGCAGTGTAAAGCATGCAGTGACAAAATTTGGGGACCCGTTCAGAGTTCTTACAACATCAGCAAGATTAAGATGACACCCAACATTTGTGAAAATGTTTAGAGTTAAAAGACGCGGTTTTAAAAGTTCTTCACCAGTGTAAAATACGCAGTGTCAAAGTACGTTCATGGACTCTTCCAGAGTCATTCCTACAGAACAAGCTGTCTCTTAGTGTCCATGAGGATGTTCACTCTTAACAGTACTCAGTACTCTGGATAGCTACGCCAACGTCCTTCTCATCTCAAAAGGCTCTGAATTTTCAAGATGCTATTTTCCTACCATCGAAAGACTGTGGTAGGTTAATTAAATATTAACCTTTTTGTATGGCATCTTAGCAAAATCAGCATTTTTTAATAATTTCATATTGTTGCTCACCATACACTTTGCTGGTTTTGAGTCTTAAAATACCGAATTACAAAAGCTAACCTGACAAATTAATAACTAACGCTAGCTAGTTAATGACAAAATAGACAATGTCAGCAAGAGGCAATGTTAATCTGGTCAATGTTGTGTGATTGATTGTGATTTACTGTCAGTGTTTAAGATTGTTTAATTTTAGGAAATTATGACTTGTCTTCTACTCTATTCTTGCACAGGTGGCTTCACCTCGCTCATGAAAGTTAGGTACTCATGCTCACTAGTTGCCAGTTTGCCATCAGACACACTAGATCAGAAGTCTTTCTCATACTCACCTGTGCCCCTGTTTTAAGGAGCCAGTTTCTGAATCTAGCCTTCACATTCAGGTTTGTTATTCATCTATGGACTCTGATGCTTTGCACTGACTCTTGGATTTTGTTATTATTTATTAATTTAGCTCTTCTATATTTTCTTCAGCATTACACATCTTGGATACATCAACATTTATGGCCCAGTTTTTGATTTTGTGGCTTAGCCCACTTAGCATGCAGACCTCAAGGGCAGCTTTTGCTCATGTTTTGGAGTGTTTACCAATTCATGAAGTACTCATTTATACCTGGTGTTTTTCACCCCATGCCAGACTTGGTTCATGTTTGCTGAATTTATGTTTTCAGGTGTGTATTTGCTAGGGATAAAGATATCAGTGAGTTTTGCTTTTGCTCAGGCCTTAGTTCTTTTCAGCTTCATTTTTGTTTGCACTTATTGGCACAAAGAATCAGCATTGTTGTTTGAGCATCACCTTGTACATACAGTACCTCCTGTTTGGTTTCTGCATTTGGATTCATCATCCTTAAATTCTGACAGTATTTTAAATTTCTGACAGTATGATATGAGGACAGGCTTTTATTTCTGTTCATAAAATATAATGGATATGTACTTACAATTAGTATTTGATGTACTTTCGAGCTGCTTTATATTGTGCAAGACTCTTCTTCAGTAAGAGAAAGTAATAAAACATTATGAGCCAGCTGTAATAAGAAAGCAGCGCTGTTCGGGTAACTTGTCCAAAATAAAACTATCATCCAACCCGGAGAAAAAAAAGGAAATGCTAATTTGGTACAGCTAAAACCAAAACTTTTATTAACCAGGTAATAAAAAGATACTTTTTGTTGCAAGGAAACGTCACAAGAGTGCGTGTAGCGCCACTGGAAACGCATGACTTAATATAGACTGATACATGTTGGTCACAATTGCAGTTACAAGTTGAAAGCATCCTATGGTTTTATAATATAAGGATCCTACAATGTTGCCAAAGGATTGAAAATTGCAAGAATAGAGTGGGAGTCATCCTTCAGTTCATCCAATAGTGTAAAAACTGTGACACTAGTCAATCTGTATCCTTCAAGAGTTCAGGCAGAGTGTTCAGGCAGATGAAATAATATACTGTAATCCAGTTTGCAAATATTCTTTCATCACACTGTAGAGACCTGTGTTTGTGTGTTTGCATAGAGCTGCAATTACTACTTCCATTGTTTATGGAATTCATCCACATCAAAGTTTTTATAGACAACTGCAAATTATTACTTTTCAGAGATGGTGAATTTTTTTTTGCAAAATTGACAGTCACAAAATGTATGATCTTAATCAATCCTGCAGACTCCTCTTATGTCTATTATTTGTTTGATTCTCCCTTATGTGCATACTCAGTGAGGAGTTAGCTTTACACTGTAGATACTTGCACAAATGACATGCAGACCAGCCTGATGCAACTGTTTCATATATACCCATCAGCTATGACATTATGACCACCTGCCCAATACTGTGTACCTATTAGTCAGTGCAGCAATTGGTTGGTGCTCGTGTCACTTCACTCTGCAGCTCACTGTGCATCTTCTGTGAATCCATTTACTTCTATAGTCAGGAAGAGCACAGGCTTGACTACCATTTAGTGAAAAACGTATGTAAACGAGAGAAAACTATGGTTGTGAGGACAAGTTAGAGATCACTTTTTAGACAAATTCAACAGCCTCGCCACTCTAGGTGTGATATCACCACTGTTCATGTAGACCAATGTACAGCGTTTCTCACTTTCATTTTAACAAAGATTCAAACAAATGGAATCTTTTGAAAAGGATGAATGGAAGTTAAATGTTTAATCTACAGTAAGGCAACCTCATCATCAGTGAGCCTTGAGCGTCCATGACCCTGTCGCCAGTTCATCGTTTGTCTTTTCTTGGACCACTGTTGGTAGGTACTAACCAGCACAGACTGGGAACACCCACCAAGACCTGTAGTGTGGGAGATGCTCTGACCCAGTCACCATCACAGTTCGGCCCTTGTCAGAGTCACTCAGATCCTTATGCTTGCCTGTTTTTCCTGCTTCCAACACATCAACTTTGAGGACGGAATGTTCACTGGCTGAATATACCCCACATACTGACAGGTGTCATTGTAACGAGACAGTCAATGTTATTCACTTCACCTGTCAGTGGTCATTATGTTATGGCTGACTGGCATATACATCATGTGTGTTAAGGGCAGAATGCATCACATCTGTGCCAAAAAAAACATGTGCAAAGGCCTTCAGAAATCTGGACCTATGATGTTAGTGGCTTACTAGTTTTACTAATTAATCCAATTCTACTACAACAGTAAAATCCAGAGAAAAACGTGCACACACAAATCCCTGCAGTGTCCTGCAGGGACTGACCAGAGGTCTGGCTCAGGCAGGCAATCCTCCCTTTATGCGATAGTCAGGCAGCAGGGGACAGATGCTCAACAGAGGTTACAACAGACAGTGGGTCATAAATATGGGAGACAGGCTGATCTGGCCTTTGACAAGAAAAGTGCAGCTGTACTGTAATAGGTGAAAAATGTCAGAGCTTCCCTACAGTGCAGCCTCGGATGACTGTTAAGCAGCTTCCCTGAGCATGAGCTGCTAAAGCAGTACAGCAAACATTTACAGTGGTTAAAATGGTTTGTTTGGATGACCCACCCTTTCTTGCTGTTGCCATAAGCAAAACGAGACAGGTGATTAATCACGTCATTATCATGTTTGATGGAAAGTAGAGGAGAAAGGAGGGGAGGAATCCATGTGCTGACAGGAGAGTGTGAAACAGTGAAGAGGAGAGCTGTGCTGTCCGATTCATCACAGGTTAGTAATTCTTTGAGAAGCAGTAATTTTTAAAGTAAAGGTCCTTGATTGCAATAATGTCCCCATAGCAACCATTATTGTTAATGACTATTATTATGGCTGTCATAAAATGGAGACTGGAACAAGTATTATTAAGACATAGTATTATATAAATGCACCACTGAAAGTCTCCACTGATCAAAACTAGTTTTACTATAATTTTTTTTAAATTCAACAACTTTAAAAGGTAGATGAGTAAATGGCTGAATTTAGGACATGCACCGAAAATGAAAAAGGATAAGAAGCCACACATGGATTATCTGTTTTACCGCTGTTATTTCATCAGTCTTATATCATTCTTTTGATCTGATGTGCTTTGTGAATTTCTGTTACTATATAGCTACTAGCTACTCTGGTCTAGTCCTTGGGCAGGTGGGCACATACACTAATAATGCTAATACAGTTAATACAAATCGAAGCTCAAAATCCAAAAATGCAATTATACATCAAAACTAGTGTTAATTTTGTTAACAAAGATTCTGAAAAAGTACATTTTTTGCGATGATGAAAATGAGACATTGACGACAACAGACTAACATAATTAAATAATTACATCTAAATCTATATACAATATTACTGACAAAAAAGAACTGACTATAATGAAGTTTCAAAATTAAGGTCTCTATAGTTTCATTGATGAAAAAGGACAAGCTCTATGGCCCAGACAAAATATAACAACAAGAAGTGGGGCTTGGTCAGAAAAAGCGGGTTGACATTTGGACCGATTTCAAATATAAAGCTTTGAAAAGGAAAGCTGAGTATGTACTGTAGTAGTGCTGTGAGAAAAAACCCTGTGCCTAATGATTCACTGGGAAGAAAACCACATCCTAACTGCACAGGATGATCACCTGAACACCCAGCCATCAGGCTAGAAGGCAAGTTGACTCCGATGTACCTTCCTATGCAGCTGCTGTAAATACCCCAGATCTGTGTCTGTATATTTGCTTTCCTTCAGACTCAGAGATGAAAAAATATTTGAATGAAATTGTTTATTCGGGGCACTCTCAGGTTGACTGATTATCCTGGTGATGTTGTTTAACACGATGTTTTGTTACCTCAAATCGCTACGATGGAAGTTTTTCACTTTATAGAGCAGATTAATGGTGGTCGGGTGACTACTGTGAAGTAACACTGTTGGTATGTGGTTAACTTGTTCCTTTAAAAAAAAAACTTACAAAAGAATGACACTTACATTTGGAGACTCTGAAGACTTTCCTCCTAACCTCACCACCTCCTGAACCACCACAGCCGTCCTCATCATCACAGTCTCCACTGTAGCGTCCTTCTGTGTCTCCACTTCCTGTTTCAATCTGGTCCAGTGACCCCAGTTTAGGAATGGACTTCCCCTGCAACAGCTGGTTGAGGAAAAAAAAAACCCACAATAACACTTTTGTTAAAAATATCTACATTCTTTAACTTACGTAAATTAGTTTAAAAGCATTTTTAACTGTTGAATTTATCTCCCCACAACATAAAGGTTGTTGTGCTTCCTGCTGCAAGAAGCATTAAATCATACGCACAGTATATCACATTCACATTCGGCAGTCACAGCAGGATACAGTGAACAAGGTCCTCTCGTGGCAAGGACAGAACAAAATGTGAATTCAGAAAATGGAGAGAAAAACTGTGGCTGCAAAGACAAATGAAAAGGAGCTACTGAGGCTGGTGGTAATCAGCCACACGGTCATCTGAGTAATAAAATAAAACTATGGAAAAATATGATTGCAGTGCATAGCAATTTTTAGAATAATCTTATAGAGATGATTTTAATAATAAAAAAACATTCCCTGCTATTAAAATAGGCTAAAAAATATACTTCCTTGGGCTGGTGAATTAATATTTGTCAAACACAGTGTGAGCAACAACAATTATTCTGACTGTCATCAGCTACAAACTACACTTAATACATGAAGCTCACCCTTCTCAACCGCAGTGGACTACGGGGCAGCTAAACTTTTTGCTTATTGCTGTGCAGCAGAATCTCAATCAAAGACTCTGTGAACTCAATACCAGGGGAAATGCACACACTAATTGGCTCATTTAAATTCATGGTGCATCATTGGAAACAAGAGAGAATGCTTTGTGCTGATCAGAAATGTAGTGTCTATGCTAATTAGTTACTGTTGTGGTTCAGTGCAGGGGAGCAAAAGTGTCAGGGCGACTGCCATGGCTAAGCTGGGAAATATCTGTGCTGGTAATTAGCCTATCTGAGTCCCTGCTCCTCAGTTGTAACAGGTTAGAAGATGGAGAATACTGACAGTTTGAGCAATCTAATGGTGCCTCCATGTATGTAATTGATGTGATTTTCTTTCTAATTATGTCAGAAACATGATCAAATGTATAATACATTATGTGGAATAATGACTGTCTGTGTTGTCTGAAATTAGCCTGCCCTGGGAGTTTGCCTGGATCTGAACTGTGCTTCACAGACCAGGAAGCAAAGCACTGCTCAAGGGCTCAGTATGTGGAGTTCAAAGGCTGTCAACTCTGAACTCCGTTTACAGAAGAAACAGCATCTTGCAATAATTAGTCTGCATATGGAAGACTATATGCAGCTTGAGCTTAAAGATTCTCTTATTGTTTGCAAGGAGGTGGAAGGATAGCATGTATACATAATATATGATTCTGTGTGCACACATGTACAGTATATGTGAGTAAGAGGAAAGTGTGCCATGAACTCAATCACATGACCTTAGGTTAAGTTTCAAGTCAGTTTTAATCTCTAGAAACTTTGACACATGAAGAGAAACAAGGGAGCATTGATTTGACCTCCATTCTTGCTCTAAATTGGTTTGTCAAGCACAGCCAGTGGAAGAGGAACCAAAATCAAAGAATAAGGCTCATAATATTGTGTACTGTATTAATCAATCAATCAATAATTAATCCTACCAACAAGCATGGCCTTAGCTTATTTCTCTGTGTTCAAAGACTTTACTTGTTGGCCAAAAACTATTTCTTTCATTTAGTCCCTTCATTAAAATGATTAAGGGCTGAGTTAACACAAAAAAGAGCTACATTATTGGAGTGATAATTGAAAACAAAACAGCCTTCACTAGCAGGGACCCTGCCCTCAGGAAAGGATGAATGTTTGAATACGATGTAATACTTATGGATTGTGGTTTGGGGGGGAAATAAGGCTTTGGAGGCCCGTGCCGCTCCAGGGCACTGGCGGACCCCCTGCATAGAAGGACAGAAAAAAGAAGTCAGAGATGAGGAAAAAGGGGGCGAGTTGCACAGGTACGAAAAAGCGGAAATGAAAGAGTAGTTTGAGCAGGTGGTTTAAATGTAATGAATGGAATGAGGAGTGGAAGCGACGTGTGTTCAGGCGTGGCCCTGCTCCTGAACTTCAGATTAAATTCTCCAATTATCAAGTTCTGCAGTCAATGACAGGATCTGTGTAAATATCACACATTTGCTATGTTTATCTATGTAAAAGTACAGATCTCTATAAATTATTAACAGGTAGACATTTCCCTGTAAACCTATTCATGAGTAATGTAATATTTTCTTTAACATCAAACACACAAACATGTGCTTTTGGTATGTGGTGTTATGGGCAGGTGACATAATTTGATTTGCATACAATAGCAATTCATTAATTAGGTCTTGTGAGGCCTGTTGTCTTGATATTTCACAGCAAAATAATCTCTTCCAAATAGCTGAGGAAAGAGTCTCGAGTCTGACAATTAGCAGGACGCTCAGTTCTTTAAATCTTCTGTCTTAGAAAACAAACTGCTCGATGTTTGATTATATTGAACAGATGCATTGCTCTGTCAGACACTCAGTGAAGCGAGTCTGACTAGCCTAACTGTGTTATTAGCTTTACTTGTGTAAATGACATGGGGTTTTGTCTAACACTGGCTGCAAGACAGGTGCTCTGATTTGTTCAGTGCATCTCCAGATGAGAAACTGCTCTGAGGCGCACCCTTGAGCAGGCCTCTGGCTGTGCAATGCGTGGCGAGATAGTGACCAAATAACACCAATTACTCATTTCACATGTAAAACTGCCAACATGATGATAAACTGCAAACTTACTGGAGCATGAAGTTTCTGTCCCTGCTACATATTCTTTTCTTTTAAAATTGCTAAACCAATTAAGAGTTAAAGCCATATGAGTTGATAAATAACATCATTTGCACAAATCCTCACACAGAGTGTACGCTCCACAGTTCACAAGCTCAACCCATAGCAAAAAGAAAAAGCATAGCATGTTAGTGTGACATTATCTTATGATTTCTGTCTACTACATTCAGTACAGTCCTACCTTTCAAATTGTGGCAAATATAAACCTGAACTAAAGAGAGAACCTGGTCTTCATTTGAAACAGCCAATTATTAAAGACAGGCCTTTATATCAACTCATCCTTCTTTATTAATAGATGTATTTGTACTGCACACATTCCCCATCTGTCAAACATTAGAATACTTCTAACGATAAGTCTCTGATTAAAAGATGATTTGACTTTAAGCATTAAAACCAGGAACTCAGCAATCAAACTCATATTTCTTGTTGAAATTCTAAAGATTTTTTTTAGTGATGTAGCATCGAGTACATGTTCAGCATTGGTTGACACATCCTTGGTTGGCCACTCCACATTGCCACCTAACATTTCTTTCATGAATGTTTAGAAGGAATCAAAAAAGGCCATTATTTCCAACGGAAAGACGTAAGCGCTACACTGATTTCTTTCAGGTTTTGCAGCCAGAATTTCACTGCCTTAATCTTTGCCCACAAATACAGTAACCTCCACATCATGCATTCAATGTCTTTCCTTGACAAGAGGTGAAAATTCTGTCATACTGTAAAGACGAATGTCAGAAAAGTTCATTTTGTGTATCTCCTGAAGTCAGTGACTCGACCACGGCATGACAATCACTACTCAGTCGGTTAACACCAGCTGTCTTCTGATATTAACCATTTGATTGATGGCAGGAGACACACCTGGGAGAAAACCGCTGAGTCTCTGCTGTTTGATGTTAATAATGATGAAGATAAGCGATGGCTACAGGAGGTGAGACAGGAAAGAACTGCAATGTGGTGGAAATGATGAAAGTGTCTGTCGTCTTGTCATTCATTCACACACACAATCACAACTTTAATCACATCATTAATCAAAACCTGCCTAGGCAAAATGTATTCTCTTTGATACTGGTTTACTTTTATTGTGATTGTGCAACAAACTCAATAAATATGGAATTGCAAAAATAAATAAATAAAACAAAAGATTTCTGTTCTCAAATTAATGTAGATCCACTTCACACTGAAACTTGCAACACAATAAAGCACCACTTTATCTAAACTAACATCATTTATAAAACATATAATAGAGATAAGTTTATTTTGAAAATTGCTCTTTTGATTGATAACTGGCCTCAGGACAGCTTTAGGTAATTTCACTAATAAAATTTATATACAGTAAAAGTATTTTATGCCATACATCTGGGGATGACAGCTATTGAATGGGTTTAAAACTTGCAAAAATAATATCCACCATGCCTTGAGCATGAATCCTAATGACTGTTGTGAACCTCTAGCAGCATCATAATAGGTCATAAGTTTACTTTTATCAGTATTTTTATTTAAGACCAAATGCCTGAAAAACAATCCCATTAGCCTCAGATGTGTCTTACGGGCTAATTAACAAAAATCAGAATGCCAACATTGCTAAACGAAGATTATCAACACTGCACCTGCTAAACATCAACACAGTACACTGTTGTTTTTGTGAGACACTACCATTCATTGCAAAGTACCACTGTGCCCAAGTGTAGCATCACAGAGCTGCTACTGTGGCTGTAGACTCTTAATCCCTTTTTACACTGCCCGTTCAAGGTGGGTCTATTGTAGTCTGCCATGCCATTCTGTACAAAAGGTACCAAGTCAGCACGTGGGGGGTCAATGCTGACCCTTCTATATTCTGCCTCAAAAGGTAGTAAATATGTGGCAACCGTCCGGCCTTGTCCTCTGTAAAAGAGAGGAGAGGCGGCATGGGGGGTTGTGGCGGCAGAGTATAAAGTTTTGATGAAGCTTTTTTTCCTGCAATGCACCACTGGGGATTTATATTTTAACACTGCTTGCAAGAAACAATCTGTGACCATAATTATTAACACTGAGGAAAGGTTTTCATTCCGGGACCTGCCCCCCACACACTGACATGCCAGGTCCGTCACCAAGTGATATTCCAGGACCTCATAGTTTACAATTTAAGCACTAGTTACAGTATATGTCAAGCTTGATGTCACACTCACTATGCAGACTTTTTTTTAGTTTAAAGTAAATAGGCAAAGCCACCATAAAGGACCAGCTTAATGTCAATGTAGCAGAATCTCTACATCTATACTAACACATACTGTAT